TAGACTTACCTCTACAATATACTCCTGTGTGATCTGACTACTGTTCCCTGGATGTAAGCTGTCCACTAGACTTACCTCTACAATATACTCCTGTGTGATCTGACTACTGTTCCCTGGATGTAAGCTGTCCACTAGACTTACCTCTACAATATACTCCGTGTGATCTGACTACTGTTCCCTAGGTGTAGACTGTCCCCTAGACTTACCTCTACAATATACTCCTGTGTGATCTGACTACTGTTCCCTGGATGTAAGCTGTCCACTAGACTTACCTCTACAATATACTCCCGTGTGATCTGACTACTGTTCCCTGGGTGTAGGCTGTCCCCTAGGCTCTTCACAACTGTTGTGAACACTTTGAGGAGGGCTGAGATCTTACACACACAGTCCTCCTCGTAGGCGTGGTCTGACCCGCTGTACGTCAAGTCCTACAATAGCAACAAAATATCTCTCAGGTTTACATTAATATTATTCTGATGATTATTTTAAGATCAACTTAATTTCATGAAAACATGAAATTCTTTAAGAGTGACTGCCTGTTATTTTCAACAATAGTTTGTTACTGAAAGATACAAAGCACTTTGGTTAATTTTGTAGTATCAGAAAAGTTCTGTACCGTTATTACCACTAGCAAAAGAATAATTAAAAGAAAATACCGATAGAATATCAATGAGCCCTTTCACCACCATAGACCATAATAAACTCTTCCAGATTAATGCATGGTAAAGTCTACCAAAGTAACATGGGGGGGGGGGGGGGGGGGAAGTTTAACACTAAGGTTAAGAGACAAATCAGTGTAATAACCCATATGCCCATAAATCTCCTACAGAAATTGCAGAAGCTTTGTAATAGAAAAAAAGAGGGCTACATACTATTGGTGCATTATCGTGTACGCCTCCATGTTCTACAGTTATAGGGAAGGATGACCAATATTCAATGTATCAAAATAAGATAGTATTTCACTGTCAGTATATTATCATAGCACATGCCTTCATGCCTTCAAGGAAACTGTCAAAGCAGTGTGATAGAGAAAGACAGACAACATTCAATATATAACAGCAGATGGTAAAAGACTATGTGTACATTACCTCAGCATACGCCTCCATGTCTTCCAAGAACTGCCCTAGTAGTGTGATGGAAAAGGACAGATCCATTACCCAGAATGTGTGGAATTCTATCAGGGCAGACGACGTGAAGTTTATCAGTGTGTCCTTCTGTGTGGAGTCTATGTGCCATCCCACCAGGATGTCAACTGTGTCCTGTAGGGAAACGACGTCATTGTTGGGTTATACAATTGGTATCAGAAGTTGGCCAATACATCAAAAACATTTCATTTGTTTCCGAGCTCAATAATAAGGGTAGCCTCATAGTCTGGGACTATTTAATAATTATTCTAAAACCAACTGCCTGATTGATTTTTTATGTTTAATCATATTGGGTCAGTGGAATTTGCATATGGAAGGTAAAATTGGAAACCACTAGCCCAACTGACTAGCGTTTTCTTAAAAATTAATTTCTAGTCCTGAAAACACTATCTAAAGTATGATTGATAGATCTTTTCAGAGCAGTCTGGTCTCAAAAATAAGAATTGAAAAAATGGTTCCTTCGGTAAGTTGGATGCACATCTTTTCATATTCAGAAAAAGTATTATGTGTAAGCTGTAGACTTCTTATTATATAAATATCAAATTCATCACTCGCAATTTAGAACAATTTGCTGAGTCACAATTTTGATTTTTTCTGAAGAAGGAAAACCTACCCTGAAGTGAGAATCAAACACATGCTGGTAATGCTTGGCTATATGAAGGATGACATTGATGACCGATATCAGCAACTCAGGGGTGTCCGCATTCTCCAGTAACGTCTGGACATTGGTCATCACCATCTGTTACAAAAAGGATATAATACCAATACAGACGTGTTTTTTTAGTTTATATCTAGCCATATGTTGCAAATCTGCNCCCTCCCCGAGGTAAATTGAGAACGTAAACACAATGGCAAATAAAACAATAAAGTTCCTATCTTAAAGAGACATAATTAATACCAATGGCATAGTAACTTTTCGGTTTATTATGACAAAACATATATTAAATAATTCCTATTTTCAATAAAAAAAACTGGGAGTGAAATAACCTTTTTATTTTTTGTATTGGTCGCAAAGTAAAGGTGACGCATAGGAATTACTTGTAAAATGGCACCTGATTTCAATACACTTGAAGGTATGCTTTGATGTTCACGGACCTTTCTACACATGTCTATATCGATAACATGCTTAAGTTTCTCTTTACCCTGATCTTAAAATCAACATGACCACCAGGCTGGGCAGATAACACATCCACTTCCATGGGATTCTTCTTGTTGCAAAAAAAGCAATTAAATTTGTTTTCATGTTCCTTTATAAAAAGGAAACATTTATCATTTTCAAAATAATTAATTCACTAAATACATACCTCAAAGAGACATTAGCTGGAATCATACCATTGTTGGTAAATGATAACGTAAACATGTCCACCATCAATGGTAACAACACCCTATCACCTATGTTCCTTTGATATAATATATGTTTGTGACAGAGAAAATTTACCATTATGAATGAAACATTACAAACTGCATACCTTAAAGTGATCGACTTATAAAGTGTGGTTTATCCAATTTTCAAAGTCCCATTTTTGACAGTGCATACATGTACTTATAGAATTTGAAAATGAGAGTTATCATATGCGTACATCTTCTGGAAATAAACTAAGCAACTTTGAGACACAAAGTTTGTGTGTAATTTTTAAAATACACTTACCGGCATCAAACTTCCAACAGCCTGCTTCTTCTCATCATACTTCAAGGCCTTTAAATTGAAACAAATAAATTTGCAAAATCATTCTTTTTATTCGTTGACAAAATTTATGAACATAAGAATAAAACTGAAAATTGTAGAAAAATTCAGTAGTTATTCACACATGGGGTAATGCTTGAATGTCAACTGAGTGAAGAACAGATACCAACCTCTAGTAAGGAGTCCAGAAACAGGGACTTGATATCATCCTCAATCACGTTGTTTGTCTGATCAAAGAGCCAATGGAAATATCTGCAATTATATAGATTTGTAGACATATTGGTTGTAGTTTTATATTTATTATGTTAAGTATAATAATAATAATCAAGTTCAGGACACAAAGTAAAAAGCCAATAAGATAATTGTATTCATACGAAATTATTTATAATTCAATTCTACATCACTAATGCTTAAGAAACTAACAAAAGATATTCTGCTCTTGACATTGATGTTTGAAATTATATTAAAACTATTTTATTCAGACAGAAAAATAATGATGGGAATATGTCAATTGTCTGTGTTGAATGATACCTGGTAGAAGTTTGAGCAATATTTTCAGAACCACAGACCCATGCAATGGGTTACACTATGATTGGAACCCACAAGGTTTGTCAAGCTAACCAAGGATGCTTTCTCTACCAACTGGTCTTGAGTGATTGACCTCATCAACATCTGCAACACAATCCTAGAACATTACAACTAGATCCTGAAAACTATAAAAAAAGAAGTAATTTTTGATAAGTTAAAATCTATAATGTACCTTTGTGCATCGTGCCCCATACTCCCTCCAACAATCCCAACACAGGCAGCAATCTCCAGCTTAAGCTCTCGAGATGTTCTGCAAAAACAGGAAAGTTTAAACATTTTTTTTTACAAATCAAATGTTTTGGCAACAGTTAAATTCGTCGTTCGTTTTCTTTGTATGGTTAATTAGATGAATTAGATAAATTCTACAAGCATTATTTTCGTTCATTCAGACTTTAAAACTAAACACTTCTGCATCAAATTTACCATAAGTTTTTTATCAGTACTAAAGTGACTAAACATATGGACCTTCACAAACAGTAGTGCAGAATATTTACCTCTCATAAAAAATATCTTGCAATGCAGCTAAAATGTCATCAGCAATCTTTGCAGCAGCCTGAAAGAATAAAACAACAATAAATATATATATCAATCATGATAAATAATTATCTGATAGACTAGAAATGTGTCTGGAAGACACAAATGCCGCACTCCCAGACGTAATGACTTGAACAGGGTCATCAAGATCAAAGGTCAAGGTGACAAAAAGTCATGCAACATGATGCACAAAGTTAGAAGCCTTTGCATGTGAAGCTGTGTGACCCTTGCTGAGTACTTAGTCCATAATTGACCTTAACCTGAAAATCAAAACAAGGTCACAAGAGGTCAAGGTTAAACATGACAACCACAAAATTGTTGTGAAATTGCTGAACATAAGCACATAAAGTAACCCTAGCTACAGTCCGCAGTCAAAATCTGACCAGTCCGCAGTCAAAATCTGACCTAATACTCAATAAGATTCATCACTTTGAAAATGGCTTGTAACCTGGATGGAGACTTGTCATTTTTTAACCATTTCCAATCCTTTACATATACAATTGTTGGTGTAAAGAGTTAACTTTGATACATTTACATCTCATTTATCTAGAATTTATAAACCATGTAAGACCTAACAGTCGTTGGTTGATCATATACCTTTGATCCCTCTCCAGTCCGTAGATAATCCTTAAACTGCTTGGCTGCTGTAAGTCGTCTTTCCCTGTCACCTTCTCTGACCACACGACGGATGTACTTAGATAGACGGGATTCATCGGAAAAATAGCGAGATGAGTCACCTGAGAAAAAGTTTTGGAATCAAAAATTTTGTCAGAAATATACAATTTAAATTCAAAAGAGTGCACAAAAAACATACAAAGTTTTATGTTCTTTTTAAAATGCAGAAAACCAAATATGTTAAGAGTCAGCTGATTATTCTTTAAGTTTTAGTAGCCCAAATATATTCCAGACTTACCATGAGTATCAATGAAACTGGTTTGATCCTCATTATCTAAAACTATGAAGTTCCTATCAAAAAGTGTCGGTGAGGAAGATATATAGTTTTGTGTTTCCATCGAATCAACCATTGAACTTTCTCATAATCTGTGTAGTGTTATTTTTAGAAATGGATAGAACGTCCAGTCATATGTATCACACTTTGTAAACAAATGACAGGTAACACAAACAAGAAAGTAATTTAAAGTTTATCGTGGGAACGTACAATGGGAATATGTCCATCTGGACAGCTGTGATGTTATCAGACGGGGTCAAGTTGTTGACAACAGATACACATCAGTGGGACGACTCGTCGAGGTGGGTGTTAAACTGCTGTTATATATAATAGCTGTTTGGGACTTTTATGGTATACTTACCCGTACGTTTCGAATCCGACCGCGGCGAGGATGCTGACGTAGACCCGTGATATGATCCAACTTTCGATTCATATCGACCCCTGCCTGAAGATTTTGGAGGAGGGTAGTATCTTCGCTCTTCGTCCCTTCTGGGTCTTGTTCCACCAGATTTGATGCCATTTACTTTCATCGAAGATTTGGTGTCAATGACTCTACGCGACTCTTTCGCCTTATCTGAAACTTTTGGCTCGACTTTTTGGTTTTCCAAAGTTGCATTTTCGTTTGAGTTGCTAGCAGTTGTTTTCTCTTTAGTTGCAATTTGACTACTTTCTGAAGCCACCATATCCTTTTTGTCTGGTGGCTTACCCTTCACCCCACTCGACTTTTCACTCATTACACTAGACAACCCTTTAAAAGCATTATAATTTACTTCCTTCCATTACGAATCTAAAACTGAAAATCAACAGTCCGCCATCTTCCTCCCAAATTTACATAAGTCCGCACTTAATATTTTTCATATCTATATATAAACTATTTGTCATAATTTCAGTATTATGCTATATACTCACATTTAAAATAAGTATACTGGAAGCAAAAATAATATTTGATATGATGTTAAATAGTTTCGTGTTAATATTCACTGCAGTGCTACATCATGGCCGACTTGGGAGAGCCACTGGAACTCTGCACGTGTTTCCAAGAAAAAGACTTGTTATATGTCGATTCAGACGGTCTCGCAGGACATGTCATTATAACATGTAAAACCAACTCTGTTTTTGTATTCAAGGTAAATGTTTTGAATGTAAAGATGATACTGTGTCGTTTGTTATTTGTCTTGAAGTGTCCACGTTTCACCCCCCCCCCCCCCCCCCC